ACATAATTCATAATATGTATTAATATAAAATTATCGTATAATCAATTTAACATTTCTAATACCAAGATGTATAATAATTAACTCTATTTATTTTAAAAGACACCTTTCAAAGCCTTGTAAAAAAACTTCTTTTGTCTTATGCATTCTGCTGAGTGAAATTTATAAGTGCTTAGTAAATTTAAAATGAATAAATGAATTATGTAAAAAAATTCCAATTGTCATTTTCTACATAATTTTCACTAATTAAGTGAGATGTGATTATGCATAGTGCAATTTACATAAAATAAAGCCATTAATACTACCTCAAATTCGTTAAGCGAAATTAAAAGTTTTGAAAGAGATTTAAATGAATTCAAATATTACCTTAACTCTGCTAAATCAAATTAAAATTATTGGACGAACATATATCATTTCCAATGTAAAATTTACCAAAGATTTTATTCTCGAAAGTTCCAATCAAATTGAATTCAAACACAACAATCCAAAAATGAAAACTAATTTAACCCAATATACATGGATTCCATCCACTCATGAAAAACCCAAATCAAATTGAAAATCAACGTCCAATTGCATTTGTCAAAATTGATTCAACAACTCAAAATTTCTCTACCAATTCAAAATAATGTAAATCATAAAATTTCAACATTAAGATAATCTATACTAAGTTACAGTAGGAAATTAAGTTAGCTTCCCTTGTCTAGATATTTGAAAAAGGACTCTATAAAACATGTCCTAGACCTGCTCATTGAAAACCCTAGTCATCAAACCAAACATACTATTGGAACCAAAACTAGCATAGACTTATCTTTTCTCATAAAAAGCTACATGCAGAACACCCCAAGTACCACAAGCAACTAGTAAAAAAAGTGGAAAAAAAAATAAAACTTACTCTATTTGAAAATATGATTGATAAGGAACAATCTACTCTCTACTAGCTACACTTTAGAGGGTTCAAATCTTGAAATATATGAGTTACGATTTCAACATCTTAGGGTGAAGGTAGAAATTTTAAGGCTAGATACAATATAGTTTTAAATGAATTAAATTTGAATAGTTAAATTTTTATGTATAACTTTTTTAATTTAAAATATTAAAATATTCACTGTTTATTTAATTAAATCACTTCTACTCTAGTCCTAACAAACTAAGTCCTTGTAAAAATAAACTTCGTTTTCTTTCTTTGAATTCTTGCTTTCTACTCCATCTTTTCTTTGTTTAAAGTAACATTCTATTATTTTAGGCTTCTGATTTCACCCCATGTCATTAATTTCTCAATCCATAAAAGCTACTCTTCTTCTTGATTTCTTAGGGAAAACCTTGACTTAAAGTCATATTATTGCTTGTAGAATCTCATTTAAGGTAAGGGAAGTTGTTTCTTATCACCTAAAACCCTAACTTAATGGTTTTTCATAAATTTTGTACTACTGCCCTGCAACCAAAACGTGAACCAATTATGACTATTTTTTAAAATTTATGTTAAAAAATGGATTGATTGGGTGACTGAATCTAGGTTCAACTTAAATTACATTTACTTTAATATTTTGTAGAGAAAGTTATGCGTGAAACAAATTCTATTTTTTCCCTTAAGTTTGTATGTAGCGAGTTTTGTAATTTTATTTTTGTGGAGTTTGAATAATTTTATATCAACTTAAGTGACATGATAATTATGATATGATAATATATTTCAAACCCTAAGGTAGAGGACGTGATTTTCACGTCAAAGTATAGTAGAAATTGTAGTTATTTAGAATATAATTTATGCAATATGAAGGTGTCCATTCTCTGAAAATTTGATTGATATTAGATTGTGAATTGTTTATATTGGAATGTTGGGTATTCTTGGTTTGTTTAAAATTTGAAAATATTTAAAATTCAATGGTTATACTAGCAAAATTTTATCAACAATAGATCTTGAATTGTTAAGTAAAATTGTGTATACTTGTTGTGATGAGTTAGAATATGTGATTATTGCGTGACTATGAAATTTTGATGGAAATTGTGATAACACAAAATTAAGGAAAATGTTTGTATTGAGCTCTATGAATTTATGCTACTTGAGATTAGTGTTATTTTATAAATTACAGTGATAAATTGGAGTATGGAAGTAAGCAAATAAAATCACATAACGTTACACCTCTTTTTCAACTAAACTTTTGACCATACTTTGGGTCAAAGGTCAAAGGAGTTGTGTCTCGCGTCTAAACTGTATCCATGAAATGTGGAAACCCAATGGAGGACAATGTGCCTAGTCCAAGACCTTCATTACTCAATTATGGCATTCAATTATGGCATGCAATTATGGCATGTGGGCAATGTAAAAGATTAATGGTACATAGAGTGCTCATAAATTATGATCACAATGTATGTATGTAAAAGTGTGATACATGAAACTTGATTTTTATACATTTAAAAGTTTGTTGGTAAGATTTTATGCGGATAGGGAGATGTAATTTTCGAGAAATTATTGGAGCTTGATAAATATAAATCATTTGGGAATAAATAATTCGCTGTTCAAATTTGTAGAAAAATTTGGTGTTACTAAAATAATTGATTATTTTGTTAAATAGGTTTATGGTTAAAATAGTTTTACCCATTTAATATGTTGATATATTTTTTTTGTTTGATTATGTTTTAGTAGCTGAAATTTAGAGTAAATAATTTTTCAGTCCAAATGATAAAAAGTTTATTTTATTCCTAGACATTTAATAAAATAAGATTTTAGTCCTTAAACGTTATATTTGAGCTACTAAACACAACTTTACAAAACTCATTTTAATTCTCCAAATTTCCTGTTCAGGGACAAAAGTAATATATTTTTTTTATTTTAAGGAACTATTTTTTTTTTAATTTGATGGACTAAAATCAAAATCACTTTAATTTACAGGGATTAAAATATAATTAAACCTTTTATTATTATTATTATTATTTAACAAAAAATAATTTTTAAACGTCATCTTTATTACATTTTAATTTTAGTCGGGGAAGAGAGAACTCACCCTCATATTCATTTTTCAGGAAAACGAAGATGTCAACGAGGAGCATAGAAAAATTAGATTGGAGAAGATAATTTGGTTTTCAAAAAGTGGTAAAGATTTAGTCATTTTAGATTGAGGGAACCAGAATCTATGAAATGCTATAAAAACTTATTGATAGTTTTAATGTTCCTTTTGGTTATGGTTTGGGTAGAAGAATCCGCTACTATCAGGGAATGGTTAGACCTTCAAATGCTATAGAAAATGTTTATTTTTCTCATGATCATAACCATAGAGGCCATTCAACAAGATACATCATGGAATATATGACAAGAGGTCATAACCATAGAGGTCATACCCAACATAATTTGTTAAGTAAATTTACTCAATCACGATTTAATTTATTTTGATGTTTAAAATGAAATTTTGAGGCAAGTTATATATATATATATATATATATATTATAATTTTTTTTTTTAAAGAAACTTTTATACCCATGTAAATTTATGTATATTACTGAGCTTTAGATTATCAACTTTAATACTCAAGAATTATGAATGACAGTGAATGACTTCCAAACAAATTCTTTGTTTCTCCTTCTGAATATACATTGCCCAAGTTTTATTAAAAAACAAGTATTCTGGGAACTATTTTATCAAGGAAAATTGAAATTTTCCTCATTATTATTAGATATTTATGCAAAACATAAGTTTTAAACTAATTAAAGTTTCGTTTTACTTTTATTTAAATTAAATTAGGAGGTTTCTATTAAACAATTTAATGAGATATTATTTATTTAATTTAGTTTCAAAACTTTTATAATTAAAGGAATATAGTTTACCAAAAAGTTAGATCATTATACAAATAATTATATATTGGTTATTTAATATAATTTACTGGGATAAATTAGAGTTACAAAAATTGAAAATGAAAGAAGTAAATTAATTAATATTTAATTAGCATATTAAATTTTAAAAAATAATATTCAATTTTTAGAAAATAATTATATTACGAGGCATGAAATGAAATTGAAAACTAGGTGATTTGCGCCTTAAGCACGGATCCACCGATCCAAATTTAAAACAAAACATTAATACAATGTTACAAAAAACCAGCACATTGAAGGCAAGATCCTACAAATTGACGGCCACCTATTACAACATATCAAACAAAAACATTATTAGTTATAATTACTCTACTTCCAAACTTAAATACGGTGGGAAGTGTAAGGCTAAATTCACAGTTGATTGGGAAAACATTTTTTCTGACCAAGCATCTTATTTTGTAATGACTAAAACAACCAATACCCAACATAATGAATCATAGGTGGAGATTCGTTTCTAAGGTACATCCTATTTGGGCCACTCCTTAAGTACTGTACACACACATATATGATTAAAAAAAAATGCCTAAATATAAAGACATTAATAATTGAAAGTCATAGTTTTAAGCAAAACACAACTGTAAAATAAGAGTCGAGTAATATAAAAGATCCATCCTTGACTTGAACATAACACAAACATCAGTGCATGTGTGCCATAGGTTGTGACCTGTGGCATAGATCAAACACACCGAAAGCTCTAGGCCAACAGATGGTTTACAACAGAGAGGCACATAATAAGAACTGGGTATCATTTTGTCTATCCAAAAAGGGTTCCATACTATACCAATCAAAAAAGGGAGAAACTATGAAATTATCCCCAAAACATTGAATGAACAACTTCCATTCAGGGACAAAGACGGGTTTTTAGCCCCCCCATGAAACCATTGTGATAGCTATTGCTTCTAGCAAAACACACTCCACGGAGCGAACCAGAAGGCCCAGAGAGGCTCCACATTGCTACAGCACTATTGCAAGCTTTGATAACTATGCTTCTAACCATTGAACTGGGCATTTAGATTTATTCAAGAATCACCCAACAGGGTAACACAAGTAATCCATAGATGAATGTGTAACAGGAAATGCAGGACAACGATTGCTGATAAAAAAAAAATTTATTGGCAAGATCAGAACCATACCACAATAAATTAGTCCTCCTCCATTGGTACATCTGGAATGTCAAATCTATCCTCCTCAATAGTCTTTATCACAAATACTGGACTGGGTATTGGTAGTCAAGGAAAGTGTATGGAACAGCAATATTTACAACAATCATAACTCATCTGGTTTCAAGTAAGAATTACAATGCTACAAGATGAATGCTTGCGGTAACAAATCAACAATTTCTTACTTAAATTAGTGTTTTTTAGAAATTTAAATGAAAAAATTACTTGATCTTTTGTCAATTAGGTAGTTTGGGCCATCATGTCAATTACAGCAGTATATCCTTTCTGAATTTCTGCTGAATGAAATGTCCCAAATGTTACCAGGACTGAATTGTGACAGAAAAATCAAGATATTAAATTCAGCTGGGTATCTTGAATTTCTTATAAAAATATTGCATTCAAAAGACTTTTCATATTATTTAGTATATTAGCTTAAGTTTTTGTTTCTAGCAATTTCAATACACTGAACCTTACATGCAACTCAGACTTTATCCTTAAGCTCACCTAGATAGATCACACAACATGAGGTAGACTATAGATACCATGTCATATGCATCAACCTTAAGAAAGATAAGTAGGGTAAGAAGTAGAAAAATGGAGGATATAAATTGACATAAGATTTTCCTCCTTTTCACCTCGGTTGCGGCTGTGATCTATCTCTCTACTAATTTCAGGTGTAACCTGCAGTAGGGGAAAAAAACTATCAATGACAATCAGAAATTTGAAACACGAGCAAAACAACCCATTAGATTTAATGCTCTCACTAATTTATGCGTTTGCTTTTCCAGCAGATTCCTTAACCTATCCTTATCTTCCTTCTGCAGCTCATTCTTGTACCTGAAATATCATACAAAAACAGCTTTAAATAAAAAAGCATGCAGGAAAATTAATCATTACTATATCTCATGCTATGCTAATTATACATACTTTATTACATATATTCATTAATCAACATAGGAATTATACTAGGATTTACTTTCTTTGCTCTAACCATTTTTTTAAGGTGATTTAGGGAGGATAATGGATATTTCTTGTGTTTGTTTGAAGAAATTATGAAGGGTTTGTAATGAAAAAACGTAGGACTAATTATATTTCATTTCCTTTCCACACAGCCATGATTTAGCACATAAGTAGGACTCGAGTGTTTTTTTGTTTGAGTGGAATTGGGGTATAATACGGAAGGACACACAGAATTCTAGGGAGCAATAATGTTATATTACAAATAGTTTGAATTAAATTTTTTCCCTTTTTTAATTCAATAATACATACAACTCCACTATTGCGTTTTTACAAGTTACTGGTCTGTCAACACTGTATTAGACACTCATTAAAAAATCAGGACAAAAGGTTAATCACTGACCTCTGGACAAAAGCAAGAAATGACTGGTGCCATATAACAGGCATTATTCTGGTTTCATTGAGAAATCTCATAAAATGAGCAACAACTGCATCGACCACACGATATGGCAAAGCATATTTTTTCTCCAGAAGAAGCTTTATGAAATAGCTGCAATTGTTGTAATATTAAGTGTCTACCAAATATTGAGGCGAAAAAATAAAGGAAGTTTCTTCAAAATAAATTTGTTCTCCATTGCTGTAAAATATAAACTCAACTCATAATAAATTTCATGAACTGTATTCTCACAATTATTCTTTAAAAAGAGCTGCAATATTAAATACCTTGTGGTGCCACAATATTCCATTCCAGAAAGCTTCAATAGAGCAACACTGCATACACATCCAGAAGTTTGGGTATGTCAGACATTGAATATGATTAAATAATTCAAATTTTTACTTTCAATCACAACTCGCGTATTAGTTTCATTATGTCAAAATGCCTCATACACCAGATAGCCCGCTAGCTCATCAGAGTTAGTTACTGCAAGCTTTTGTTTCTGTTAACAGTTGTAACAGAACTGTAACAGCTCTCAATGTACTATAAATCCTGATCTCTTAGTTTAGAGATTCAGAAAATCAATAGTCAATTTTCCAGTTTTTAGGTTTTCTCTTAAATTCTCTAAATTTCAGAGTTCTTTTAACATACCACATAGTTTTAAATCCGAGATAGCAACCATCTATCTAGAAAGGCCTGGAAATAACCTAAACAGTTATATTGGGTTATGGTAACAAGGAGATATGCTTAAATCATTGAACAACTTATTAAGGGAAACTCATCCCTACATCCTTTCTCCAAAATACTACAGGCTCTGTCCCCTGAACTAAGGTCCAAGAAACCAACTGTCAACCACTATGACACACACCCTAGTCAACTTTGGATAATTAAAAGTAGATTTGAGTCTAATTTAACCTTACAAAATCAATTTATTTCATATTCACTTATATACTATACATTTTAATATATCTCTAGTCAATGTAGGATTTACAAAACAACCCCTCATGCTCAAGGATTGAATATCTTGAGAACGTGAGACTAGGTATTTGTGGGTTGTCCAATAACGACCAAATAGCAAGTGGAAAAATAAGTCCAACAAATTTTACTAGAACAGGCTCTAACTCAACCTCAAAACCAACTTATAAGCTGAAATTTATATCTACTTATATATGATAATTTGGATATATCCCTAACCAATGTGGGATCTCCAACACATTCAAGTTTGAATATTTCAATTAGACGAAGTTAACATACCTTGAATGAAGTGGAGGAATAGAAACCTTTTCTATAATGCTTCCAACAATGACTGCTTCCCTAAGAGTGCATGTGCGTGACTATACATGAAAAATATTGTCAAACAATGCAACAAAACTGAACAAACAATTGAATTAGAAACTTTTGTTGAGACTTCATATGGTTTGATTAAACAGAAATTAAAATGATTAGATTTTCTTTTAGTAAATAAACTCAAATCATGAAAATTATCAAAGAATAAGCTTAAATAATTAAAAGGAACTCGTTTATCACTCTACAAAACATGAGAGGAGCTGGATGTCATTTAATTAAATAATACCAGATCTAATAATTTTGTTGAATATTTATTAGATTAGTTGTATCTAACTATTGACCTAATTCCTAGAATGTATTTGTTTATTAGATTAGTTGTATCTCAGAATTTGTATCTTTATCCCCAATAAATAAGATAACACAAGAGAAAAGTTTAAGCTCTCAAAAACATCTTTTTTATTTTTCTATTATCTATTTCAAGTTAGTATCAAAGCGGGTTCGTCCCACTTTGCCTGTCTCTCCTTTTTCTCCATTGTCCGCCGCTGGCGCCACCGGCGCCGTTTTACTAAGCGTACTTAGGTTAGGATCACCTCGAAGAGCACAACCCAACCTTGGTGGTCGCTTTAGCCATCTCTGTTAGACGCACCGCCACGTGCCGCCTTCTTCCGTTGCTTCCTCCGTGTGTGTGGTTCACGTGCCGCCTTCCCAGTGGCCATTTTGCTCTAGACCACCGCCATCTAGCTCGCCTCATCGTCCTGAAGCCGGATCTACCCTTTGTTTTATGTTCCAAAATTTTGGTAACCCCTTTCGTATACACTGTCACAAAACGCTAGTTGTTCTATGATCAAGCAAAGTGACACTATTTCTTGGTAATCTCTCATTGCTCTCGGTCTTCTCTATCCAAACATCCTGTTGGATATTTTTTTCTTAAGAGTTCTCTCTTGCTTCCTGAATAAAAATGTCAGGACCTGCAACATCTATATCTTTTTCTGGGACTCCTACTATAACAACAGAAAAATTAAATGGAAAAAATTACTTGTATTGGGCCTCCTCTGTTGAACTTTGGTTTCTAGGACAAGTGGTTCATGATTATCTAGAAGACGACGGAAGTACAAAACTAGCAGATTAGGCTCCTCAATGGAAGAAACTTGATTATCAACTTTGTGCTCTATTATGACAATAAGTTGAACCAAATATTTTGAGCACTCTCCGATCCTTCAAGACATGTAATTCTTTCTAGAAAAAGGCCCAAAATATCTTTGCTAATGATATTCAACAACTCTATGATTCAGCTAATAGACTAACCTCCCTTAAACAAGAGGATTTCGTTAATAGACTAGCCTCCCTTAAACAAGAGGATAATAATATGATGTCTTTTGTTGTTGAAGCTCAATCAGCAGTTGAAGAATTAAAAATGTTCCTTGAGACAGATTCATTAGAGGAGAAAGAGACGAAACTGGATAAATTCTATATGATTATGATTCTTACGGCTATAATCCAGAATTTAATCATGTTAGAGATCAAATTTTAACAGGACAAGAAGTTCCTTCTATGGAGAGTTTGATCACAAGGCTATTTCGTGTTCCATCTATCAAAGGTAAAAATAGTCAAGAACTTGTTGAATCTTCCGCCATGATTTCTGCTCGTAAAAAAGGTAATTACGGCAATAGAGAACGTGGTGGTAGAGGACGTCATCAGTGCACTCATTGCAAAAGAATGGGTCATACTAAGGAATATTGCTTTGCTCTGCATGGCTATTCTGATAAGACAGCCAATACTTCAAAATCTGAAGTTGTTGAGCCCAAGTTCTCTCATGAAGAGTATCAAGAATATTTAAGGATGAAATTAACCAATCTGGCTCAAGCATCTACAACTCCAAATTCGTCAACCATTTGCATTTCGCAATCTGTGAAAAGTTAAAATCCGTGAATTATTGACTCTTTATTCTCCTTTCTATCATTTCCTAAAACCTCCTATCTCATATATTTAGCCAATGGATCTAAAGTAGCCTCTAAAGGGATTGGTCAAGTATTCATCTCTCCTTCAAACTTACAAAATGTTCTTTGTGTTCCTTCTTTTGCATTCAATCTTGTTTCCATAAGCCAATTAACCAAATCATTGAATTGCTCAGTAACCTTTCATGCCAATTATTTTGTTATACAGGAACGAGGTACAAGTCGACAGATTGGAGAAGGACATGAATCTGGAAGCTTATACTACCTTGGGACTAATTCATTTGTATCTTGTGTTGCATCTTTATCCCTAAAACTGTTACATGAGCGATTAGGGCATTCTCATTTGGCAAAATTGAAAAAAATGGTTCCTGAACTTCAGAACCTTCAAACTTTTGAATGTGAATCATGTCAACTAGGGAAACATACTAGGTCATCTTTTCCAAATCATTCTGAATCTAGATGTGATTCTACTTTTAGTATTGTTCATTCAGATATCTGAGGACCTAGTCGTGTTTCATCTTTTGGCTTTAGATATTTTGTTACTTTTATTGATGGATTTTCTAGATGTACTTGGGTTTATCTAACGAAAGATCGCTCAGAACTATTTCCTATCTTTAAGTCTTTCCTTAATGAAATCAAAACTCAATTTGAAAAAGTAATCAAAGTTATATGAATTGATAATACCAAAGAATACTTTTCTAATGATTTCTTTGATGTCCTAAGTTATCAAGGCATTTTACACCTGTCCACTTGTCTTCACACACCACAGCAAAATGGTATAGCAGAACGGAAAAATAGACATTTGGTTATAACTGTTCGTACCTTATTGTTTGGTGCCAATATGCCTATTCATCATTGGGGAGATGCTATTCTAACTACATGTTTTCTCATTAATAGAATGTCATCTCCTTTTGACAATAAAGTTCCACACTCTATTCTATTTTCAAAGGAATCACCCTTTCATGTTTCTCCTCGAGTATTTGGATGTATTTGTTTTGTTCATAATATGTCTCCAAGCTTAGATAAACTCTCAGCTAGAGCTATCAAATGTGTCTTCTTGGGATATTCTCGTCTTCAAAAAGGATATCGGTGTTATTCTCCTGAAACCAAGAGGTACTACATGTCTGCTAATGTCACTTATTTTTAATCATCCCCCTTCTTCCCTTCTTCTGTGCAGGATATTGATTCTATCCAACATGTTCTTCCTATCCCCTTAGTTGAGTCATTTGTACCTCCTATTTATAACACCCCAAATCCCAACCAAAATACTCAACAAGATGAGCCGCCCATAACAGATCATTCTCAATCATCTTCTAATACCACAACTTCTGATAACGATTACTCCAGTTGGCCCATTATCATTCGCAAAGGTACTCGTTTTACTCGTAATCCTCATCCCCTTTACAATTTTCTTAGCTATCATAGATTGTCTCGATCCTATTTTTCTTTTATTTCTTATGTATCTCTGGAAAATTAGATTAACTGAAATATGATTCTTATTATATTAATACAAAGAGATGATATAAGATATATATAGGAGACCTAAGCTATTTTAGGAAATATAATAACTCTATTTTATGCTAGGATCCCTTGATTTATGGGATTGTTTCTAATTATTCATATCTGTACAGATTACAAGGAAATATACAAATTTCCTGATTTATTCTTTCCTAAAATACTATTTAATTTCTCACACTCCCCCTCAAGCTGGTGAATAGATGTTTTCCATTCCCAGCTTGGATACAATCTTCTCAAAATTATGGCAGCCTAGTCCCTTGATAAGAATGTCTGCAATTTGGTCTTGAGAGGACACATATGGAGTGCATATCAAGCCACTATCAAGTTTTTCTTTGATGAAGTGTCTGTCTACTTCAATATGCTTTGTTCTATCATGCTACACTGGATTGTGGGCTATACTGATTGCTGACTTATTATCACAATAGAGCTTCATAGGTTCTTCCCACTTTATCCTCAAGTCTTCTAAGATGATTTTAAGCCATAGCAACTCACATATACCTTGTGCCATGGCTCGGAATTCTGCTTCAGCACTGGACCGAACCACTACACCCTACTTTTTGCTTCTCCAAGTCACAAGATTTCCTCCAAGAAAGGTGCAATATCCTGTAGTTGACCTCCTATCCACAATTGATCCTGCATAATCAGCATCAGTATAGGCTTCAAGCTTCACATTACCATTCATTTTGAATAGAATCCCTCTTCCTGGAGTTCCTTTAAGGTACTGTAAAATTCTGTGGGCAGCTTGTAAATGGGTCTCCTTTGGGCTATGCATAAATTGGCTAATTAAACTCACTGCATAGGCAATATTTGGCCTGGTATGCGACAAATATATAAGTCTGCCCACTAATCTTTGGTACATATCTTTTTCAACAACAACATCTTCTTCTGCATTTCCAAGCTTTAGGTTTGGTTCTAATGGGGTACTAGCAGGTTTGCAAACTGCCTTGTCAGTTTCCTTGAGCAAATCAGTGATGTATTTCTGCTGAGATATAAATATCCCTTTCTCGGAGTGGGCAACTTCAATTCCCAAAAAATATTTTAGTTTTTCCAAGGTCTTGATCTCAAATTCCTTGCCTAAGCATTGGCTCAATAATTGCTGCTCTTCTTTATTATCTCCAGTTAATATTATGTCATCCACATACACCAATAATATTGTTACTCCCCCTGACTTGGAATATTTAAAAAACAAAGTATGGTCCCCTTGGCTTTGTTTGTAACCCAGACCTGTCATAACTTTAGTAAATCTAAACACTGCACTTCTACCTAATACCCTATCTAAGGCATTGTCTGACAGAAAATAGAGGCAAGCCATGGATGTAGAGATGGAGGCATTGGAGAAGAACAACACGTGGGAGTTAGTTGCCTCCATTTTCTGTCAAACAATACCTCAGATAGGGTATTAGGTAGAAGTGCAGTGTTTAGGTTTAATAGGAAGGTTTTATGGGTAAGAGAGAAATTTTTAAAGGATAGGTAATTTGAGAGAGGGTAGAGTGGTTGTTTGGTGCATTTTCTTGTTCCTTTTCTAATGGCAATTGGGAGGTCAGGATCATTTTGGGTTTCAATTTCAACCTGCACAGCTGGAGAAAAAATTGTTAACTCTTTTTATGGAGTCGAGTTGGATTTTTGAACATGGCTTGATCCTGGAATGACCTTAGTCTTCCTTGAGTATACCAGCTTCTTACCAAATTTTCCAACTTCAACATTTTCTTGATCAGCTTCAACATCTTCTTGATCAGCTTCACAATTAATTTCACTTTCTTGACCAACTTCCTTTTCTTGACCAATTCCTTGACTTGTTTCATTTGTTACAACTTCAATTTGATCTTCAATTTGATCTCGTTTAGGTTCAAATATCAAGTCTGGAAGAATAGGAAAACCAGAATTACTACTTTCAATATGATTTCGTTTAGGTTCAAATGTCTAAGTCTGGAAGAATGGGAAAACCATAATTACTACTTTCCTTATCTTCCTTATCCTCCCTGAAACTCTCCCCCTGAAGATAAGGTTGATGGAAATAGCCCTCTTGTTCATTGAAGGTAACATCCCTAGACACAAAGAATTTTTTGGATGGGGGGTGGTAGCATTTATACCTTTTTTGAGTGGGTGAGTAACCAACAAAGACACACTTCTAGGATCAAGTTTCCCCCTGTCTGTACTATGAATATGGACATATGAGATGCACCCAAAAACTCTTGGTTTAAGATTATTTGTAGTAGGCAAGTTTGGATAGAAAGACGACAAAGCTTCCATAGGACTTTTTGATCCTAAGACTCTAGAGGGTAGTCTATTGATAAGGTATGTTGCTGTAAGGACAGCTTCCCCCCAAAAATTTTTTGGGACACTTTTTTGGAACAACAATGCCCGAGTCTGATTTAATAGATGTCCATTTTTCCTCTCTGCGACCCCATTCTGTTGTGGTGTTTTGACACAAGAGGACTCATGAATTATACCTTCCTTTTGACAAAAAGAATTAAGGACATGATTGAAGTAATATTTGGCATTGTCTGACCTAAGCCTCTTAATATTAACACCAAACTGATTTTTTATCATGGAGTGGAAGTTTAGGAAGACAGAATTGACTTCTGATTTTTGTTTAAGTAGGAAAACCCAAGTGACCCTTGTACAGTCATCTATAAAAGTGACAAACCATCGAGTACCAGACACATTTGGAATATTAGAAGGTCCTCATACATCAGTATGAACAAGATAAAAAGGGAAATTGTTAATTCTATTACTTATTGGAAAAGATATACGTTTGTGTAGCAAGTTCACACACCTTACAATGAAGACTCTCAACATCTAACTTGGTAAACAGAGAGGGAAACATAATTTTGATCACTCCAAAAGAGGGATGTCCCAACCGACAATGATAAAGCATGATTTTTTCTCTGTTGGTCATCAAGGATTCAGATATGAAGGAGTGTGAGATTCTATTCTAGCTAGGCAGACTTGGATCTTCGAGATAATAAAGGTCATTCCATTCTCTAGCATGTCCAATCATCCTCCCTGAATCCTTGTCCTGAAATACACAATGATCGTTGAAAAAAACAACTTTACATGACAAATCCTTTATAAGTTTTTGTATAGACACTAGGTTCGTGGACAGCTTTGGGACATGGAGAACATCTTTTAGGGTTATTAAAGGATTGATTTGGACATTTCCTTGACCAGCTGCAGTTATAAGGGTTCCATCTGCTGTGGCAATTTTCTTGTTGTTGGGACATGGGGAATATGTGGAGAAGTGTTTGGCTAATGGTGTCATGTGATCTGTGGCTCTAGAGTCCAATATCCAATAATGGTTAAAAGGCGTATCTGAGACATTTAATCCAAAAGAAGGTGGAAACTTACCTGAGTATGCCAAAGAACACATACCTGTAGGTTTTTCCAACTTACTAAGAACGATTTTCACCCTTTCTATATCCTCTTCCATTGACATTATAGCAAAAAGGTGCGATGCAACAACAATGCAGGTTGTCGTCTTAGGATTAAGAAAAATGCAGCAGCAATGCAGGCTGCCGTCTTAGGGTTAAGAAAAATGCAGCAGCAATGCAGGCTGCCGTCTTAGGGTTAAGAAATATGCAGCAGTAATGCAGGTTGTCGTCTTAGGGTTTATCACACGCAAACAGAGCTTCCTAGATCGGAAGCTCTGATACCATCTGGAAAATTAGATTAACTGAAATATGATTTTTATTATATTAATACAAAGAGATGATATAAGATATATATAGGAGACCTAAGCTATTTTAGGAAATATAATAACTCTATTTTATGCTAGGATCCCTTGATTTATGGGATTGTTCCTAATTATTCAAATCTGTACAGATTACAAGGAAATATACAAATTTCCTGATTTATTCTTTCCTAAAATACTATTTGATTTCCCACAGTATCCTCTATTACGATCCCCAAAAATGTGGCAGAAGCACTTGATCATCCTGAATGGCGACAAGATATGATTTTTGAAATGCAGGCTCTTGATCACAGCAAAACATAGGAGCTGGTTCCTCTCCCTTCGGGGAAGAAAAAAGTTGGTTGTCGTTAGATCTATGCTATTAAAGTTGGGCTTAATGATCAAGTTAATCGTCTTAAAGCCAGGTTAGTGGCTAAAGGGTACACCCAAATATATGGACTTGATTATTGTGATACTTTTTCTCCTGTAACCAAAATGACCATTGTCCGCCTGTTTCTTACCACAGCCGCCATTCGTCATTGGCCTCTTCATCATTTGGATATTAAAAATGCTTTTTTGGATGGTGACTTAGAAGAAGAAGTTTACATGGAGCAACCTCCTGGATTTGTTGCTCAAGGGAGTCTGATTTGGTTTGTAAATTACGTCGATCTCTCTATAGCCTAAAACAGTCTCTACGTGCTTGATTTGAAAAATTCAACTCTATTGTTCAAGCTTTTGGATTAAAATGAAGCGAAGCAGATCATTCAGTGTTTTATTGTCACACTGCCCCTGGCAAACATGTTTATTTAATTGTGTACATTGATGATATTGTCATCACAAGGAATGATGCTGCTAGAATATCTCAGCTAAAAGAGCACGTGTGTAGTCATTTTCAAACCAAGGATCTTGGAAATCTAAAATATTTCTTAGGTATTGAAGTGGCTCAATCAAGAGAAGGTGTTGTCATTTCTCAAAGGAAATATGCTCTAGATATTTTAAAAGAGACAAATATGATTGATTGCAAACTTGTGGACAGTCCTATGGATCCAAATTTAAAATTAATGGCAGGACAAGATAAAGCTTTCTTTGACCTAAAAAGATATAGAAGACTGGTTGGGAAACTTATCTATCTGACTATTACTAGACCTAATTTGTCGTTGGCAGTTGGTGTTGTCAGCCAATTTATGCAAGCCCCTTGTGTTGATCATTGGAATGTTATCATTTGAATCCTAAAATACATTAAAAGAGCTCCAGGACAAGGTTTGTTATATGAAGATAAGGGAAATACCCAAATTTTTTGGTACTGTGATGCAGACTGGGCTGGATCACCTATGGACAGGCGATCCACTATAGGCTACTATGTTTTCCTTGGAGGTAATATCATTTCATGGAAAAGCAAAAAGCAAAACGTTGTTGCCCGATCCTCTACTGAAGCTGAATATAGGGCAATGGCGTCTCTCACTTGTGAACTTGTATGGGTAAAACAGTTCTTGTAAGAACTAAACTTCTGTGAAATTCAACCTATGAAGATGTATTGTGATAATCAAGTTGTTCTCAACATTGCTTCCAACCTAGTATTTCATGAGAGGACTAAGCATATTGAGATTGACTGTCACTTTGTTTGGGAGAAGTTGTTGTCTAAAGAAATTTGTACTGAGTTTGTTGGTTCCAATAATCAGCTTGCAGACGCATTAACAAAATCTTTGAGAGGGTTTCGAATGGAATTCATTTGTTCCAAGCTTGGTACATATAATTTGTATGTTCCAGCTTGAGGGAGAGTGTTAAGTATTTATTAGATTAGTTGTATCTAACCATTGACCTAGTTCTTAGAATATATCTGTTTATCTTCTCTAGGTTTAATCATTTCCCCCTATTTATTGTATCTTAGAATTTGTATCTTTATCCCCTATAGATAAGAGAACACAAGAGAAAAGTTTAAGCTCTCAAAAACATCTTTTTATTTTTCTATTATCTATTTCAAGTAATTTCACTAATTTCTCTACCTAACTTCGTAGGTAATTTATAAAAACAGAGAAAAAAAAAACAAAAAATTGGAAAATGAGAAAATTCCCGACATATGTGCAAAAACTATAATCTAACGATTTTGTATTCCTCACAATTCAAGATGTACTTCTATCTGTCAAATTAAAAATGTATCATTCATAATACACCATGAACAAACTGATATCACTTTCTCAAGTTCATTTATAATTCTACAATCATTCTATTTTGTATTATCAATTTTCCAAACATGGTTAAATTTCCTCCCTTTTTCTTCCAGTAATTACAACAAAGAACTTCAAATGCTGGTCACCCTAAAAGATGTGATATGTAATTAGATGAAAAGAAAACGTCTATGCCATAATTTAAGAATTAATAGAAATACACAAATTGAGCTGATGAAAACATCCACCAATGATTAATTCAGAATATAAAAAACCGGCATAGACACAAGCAAATACCTCACATAGCGGAAACAGTATTCCCTTAAAGAATGCAGCAGGTTTGTACAAAGCCTTTTTCAGAGTTTGGTATAAAGCAAAATGCAGCCGTTTATTCTTCCTTATATCTTCTCTCACTCTTGGAAGCAACACAAGCTTGTAGAAGCGTTCTGCCTTTTTTGCACCAAAATTAGAAGCAAAAATCCTGGTGGCTTGATAAAGAGCATTTGGAGACCAATTTTCAGGTTCAGTTATATAAAGGACCTCCTCCCAAAGTTGCATAGAGGGGATGTGTTTGAATGCCTTGGGTATTTTTCCTATCGTATATTTGCTGAGGTGAGTCCCAACCCTGCAGTAGAAAAGATGACAACAGCAATAAGGTTGAGGGCAAGACATTGAAAATAAATTTAACCAGCTACATAACCTAACAGAAAGGAACTTCTGGTTTACATATTTATAATAGAACTGAATTGGAAGCTATACATACCCCTTGTATATGTCAATTATGGATTTATCCAATTTTGGTACAGGTCGCATTTCTGCACACATAAATATCATAAATTCAAGAGTGAGAATAAAACTTCCAAACAGACTGAAAAAACATGCTAAAAACACTCAAAACCCCAAAACCAAAATTAAAGAAAGCATGAGGAAAAAAAAATGCAGTCTAGCATTGCCTGAAGCAACAGATGCATCCTTTTCTTTTATTCTTTGGACAATGAGGTCTGCAAGTGTTTTCTGCTGTCCAGGCTCTTTTGGAAAGAATGCTTCCATTAGTCTCTCATCCTCCTCGTTAATTTCCTCCTGAATTTCAAAGAATAAACACATAATAACAAAGATCACCCCCACAATAATAATATAAACAAATTATTGAAGGGAAAAAACACCTCACTGAATCCCATACTGTTCACTAATTGAAAGAAGCATTAATAATAATTTTTACTTTCTGCATCTCTAAATCTCACCCTAATTCATCCTATTAATCTAACCAAACATTGTCATCATTTTCAGTAACACAATTACATATTGTCACATTATTTTTTTTTTTCTATAAATACGAAATTCAGAAAACAGACTCTAGAAGTACTGAAAAAGGTTACATAAATTTGATTTTACCTATGGTTTTTAAATTCTCACTCAAGGCCTGTAATGCAGTGATGAGATATAAAGTAAAAGTCATTCAGCAAAGCCAATGGTTAAACAAGGAATAGGAAAAGGTAGCGACTATTCATAGTTTACTGTAGTTCAAAGAAACAAAAGGGCATGAAACGAAGGAATGAAAGTAAGAGAGTCAACTCACTTCATATCCATCGAATTGGCTCTGTGTTTCAGAGAAGCCGACAAAGTCATCGATGTCATCGCCGTCATCATCTGCATTAGGAATCTCTTCAAGGAAAGTGGCAGCATTGTCATGCTCTGCCTCACGTTCCTCCTTTTGCTGGAGCAGAGCCTCCTTCATGATCTTGGAGCTGAGGTTAGGAGCAATGAACTTCTCTTCCTGCTGGTACCGCTTTGGTGCTTTTGAAAGCTTCTTTGTCTTTGCATGGTCAGCGCCATATGGTTCGAACGGCTCTGGATTCTGAATCCGCTCCTTCCTCTTCGCCATTCTTGGAGGAAAGAAGGATGATAATGGATAGGAAAAGTGACCTTTTGTCAAATAAAGAGACCTCTTGTAAAAAAATCTCGCATAATTACTGCAATATTCATAGTTCCAAATAAAGAGACCTCTTATTTCCAACCCACACTTGACTCATCACAGAAAAGTTCATATAAATTCCAAGAGGTTCTTTGGAACTTTACAACAACTTAAACCAATCCAATAATACCCACAATTTTCATGTGAAAGCCTAGGTATAAAATCTATAATTTGAGCAACAATGTACAGGATATACTTTTTTATTTTACATAGGAAATAAGCATGCAAATTTAGGATGCGCAGACTGATAAAAAGAGCCTATAATACTACATGTTCTGAAAATCAAGACACGATATCCTTATTAGTAATCACTACTAAACTCAAATCCTAAACTAAAATCGAGATGCTGATACTCATTATTACCTCATAAGATACTACCATTGATTTGATCAACAAGCTATTCCACTCATTGAAACAAACAAACAAAATTTAAAATATACTAACAGATCCAATTTTCGTAAATTTTTTTTAATATACTAACAGATCCTATTACAATCAATATGCTATTCCACTCATTAAAACGTGCAATTCCACCCATTGATCTATTATCATTGAACAGGCAATCCAAACTGATCCGATTATAATATACTAGTTTTAGTTGAAAGAAGTAACACAATATAATTTAAAATAATAAACAAGATTAGACATATAATCATAATAATAATATAAATAGAAACATAAAAGGACAAAAACTGAAGTAAGACACCCTTAAAAGAAAAATGGTTGAACACTAAAAGGTGCCCCTAAAACATGAACCGATCCTTTGCAAATTTTACAGGGGGAAAAGTAGGAACAATGCAAATGACAGAGTCCCAACGAAAACCAACATGGATAATTTAATAATGTTAGTTGAATGAAGAATGCACATACCTTCAACCAGAAAAGTATATAATGTAACAAAACCCCAACGTGGAAAAGGATCCCAAATGTAGCAGGTACTGTTGAACCAGGGAAATTCTTTAGGTTCACCCGCAATCGCAATAACTACCAAGCCAATGACATGAAACAGAATGAAAAGAAGATAAACGAAATCAAAGGAAAAGAAGAAACGAAGAGAAGAAAGACAGTGAAACTCACGAAGATGTCAACTGAAGAAGTTGCAACCAGAAGATAAGGTGGCGAGAGAGGCTGCTGCTGAGAGTAGGTTTTCACGCTGGCTACTGTCGCGGAGGGAGAGGATGTGAGAAGTTCGCAAATTGCGGCTAGTTTTTTTTTTTTTTTTCTCGCTCCAAAAAATCAAAATGGTTTTTTCTTTAATATTTTTATTTTATAAATTTCGTATCTCATTTTTTTCTTTTTTATTTTTAATCTTATATTTTTCTCAATTTATCTTGAATATAAATAAAATTAATTAAGAAATTATCTTTTTTTCATTATTTTAATAATGTATTTCCTTCAAATATTTTCTGTCAAATATAATCTAATAAATAAAACTCAATTACATTCTCCTCCCTCTCTCTCTTCTTTAAACTTCATCTCAACTCATATTCAAAAATAAATAATTTTAGTTATAAATATTTATATTTTAAATTAATATTTATATATTAAATTTATTTTATTAAAATAATAAATACAGATATATTCCGATATTATAAAATAGATTCTTTTATAATCATTATAATATAATTGAAAAAGAAAAAGAAAAATATTATAATTTAAAGAAAAAATAATTATTATAATTTATATATTAAAAAATAATAAAAATAAAAAAGAGAAAAAAATAAATATATTTAAAATGTGAAAAAAGAAATGAAATAAAATTTAAAATAATATTTTAAAAGAAACTAATTATCTATATTTCTACTAATATATATATATATATATATATGAGAATTATTTTCTAATACAAATTAATATTTTTCATCTTTATTATTTATTTTCGAAATTTAATAGTTAAATTATTAAAAAAACATTAAAGATGAAGAATAAATTCTAATAATTATTTCACATGAGTTTAAAAGTAGGTGATATTGGAAAACTACAAAATTAAGATAAAAATATCTTTATTAACTAATTATTATGAATATGTTATTTTAAGGAAATAATATGTAATTTCTTTAATCACTAACGTATTACGAATATGTTGTTTTAAAGAATGAGTATAATTAATTGTTGATTTGATATTATTTAAATTCAGTAAAGTCTTTTGAGTTTTGAAGAAAAAAATAGGAAATCGTATGTCTGGATTAAAGAATAACAAAATGAAATAAAAGAGGATAAATAAAATAAAAAAATGAAATTGTTTAGATTAGAAACAAAATAAGGGAATAATTTATAATTTATTTAATTTATTTAAAAAATATAAAAATATATTAATTAGGTAATTTAATGAATTATTAAAATATTTTTATTTAAAATGTAATAAAATTAAATATGAAAAGGAATAAAAGATGATTATATACAATGTAATAAAATTAAATATGAAAAAATAAAATAATATGCAAAAATTATTTTTAAAATAACTTTTCAATCATTCAAATAATTAATTATAGATTATATACAATTTTTTTTATTTTACATATCAATTAAAAAAAAAATCAAAGTATATTAATGTCTCTTTCTCCCCAATGTTCTATCTTCTATATTCTATCTATGGATTTCCCTTATGGCTTTAATTGGTAAAATATTGCGTACAATTCTTATATTTTAATAAATTATGATTTGTCATGTTCTTAAATTTTTTTCTAATTCATACGTTCTATTTCATCTTTAATCCGTCAATTTTTCCTAATCTCGAAAATTCTACTTATTTGCCTTCCTGAGCAAGAATATAGATTTTCATGGATTCATTGAGTATTAAACTATACGATTTGATTAAAATGCCTAGAAGAAGTTATGTTCACAACAAAATTTTCACTTTTCTACTTATTATTATTAATTTTTTTAATATCTAAACTTTGGAGTATCAAAATAGATGGTTCACTTAAATTAAGTACAGTATGACTTTACAAGCAATAATTTTTACTTAGTCAAATATTATGTAGGCTAATGAGTTAACAAACTAATTTTGTATTAAAAATAAATAATAATTAATTAAAATTTAAGTTATGTTAATAAAATTAATATTTATTTTTGATATAATAATTTAATATATAAATTTCAAGAAAAATAATCTATTCACTCCAAAATAAAAAAGAGTTAAAATTTTATTTTTTATTATCATGATTCGTTTTATACTATTACTATTTTAATGATCTAAAATAGTATTTTATCTTTAACTATTAAATTTTGGAATAAGTCAATCTTAAAGTTTTACTTTTATACTTATTCGAAGAATAAATGGATCCTTTAATAAATTAGTTTATAATACATAAATAATTTTTAATAAAATATTAATTTTTTTATTTTTATTTAAAAAATTATTATTATTTTATAGAGTTGATTAGCCTATAAGTATGTAAGTTAGCATAATTTAAATCCATTTAGATCTAAAAAGGTGAGACCAAATTTGACATGATTTAATTTGAGTCATAATTTTTTTTATCAAATTTAATTTGTTTTTTCAATCGATATACGTTAAACCTATTTTGACAGGTTTGAAAATTAGATTATTTTGAATTATAAAATATGTGAATGATAAAAGTAATTATATGTCAAGGAAAGCAAAATTCTCACTATGTAAGATAAGAAAAATTCAAGCAAATTTGATTTGATGATACCAACCTTGATTGTAACGGATGATGTATGAAAAAGATATAAATCAATTATGATTATGTTGTATCTTGTCTAATCTAAGCTTATTTGATTGTAAGTTAGATCTATTCTAACCATATCCTACTTTAATTCTTTAATTGAAAAGTTTAAACATTGATTCAAAATTTCTATGGAGGCTTTAATGGATTAAAATTCAGTTTTAATATTTTGAAATATTTTCACCCATTTTGAGTTTACAAGAAAGAACATTTTAATAAATTCAAATTTTATTTTAATTGGTTAATTTCAATTAAGGAAAGTTTACAATATTTTAATGGATTAGAATTTTATTTTTATTTGTTACAATAAGAAGAATATTTTAATTGATTAAAAAGTTCAATTTAATTTATTAATTTTACTTAAGCATATTTTCTCTCAATATTTGTTTTGCTTGAATTAAATAAATTGATGTTTTAATTGATTAAAATAACATAAACAAGGTTCAGTGATTTAATAGATTAAAACTTGGATTGACTGTTCAAAATTTTGAAATTTGTTTCCTATATAGTTTTAATGGATTGAAATATAACCCATCAAAACTATCAACACAATATGTATAATTCCTCTCACTATCCAAGATCAATTTCAGTTAAAAATCAACATAGTTTATCTTATTTATGGAGAGAGTTATATTGCATTAAACTTGTGTTCTTAAAGAATTAATACTTTTATATTAAACTACTCCAGTATTGGATGGATATTATATAATACTAGTAGTTCACATCTCTATTATATCAAGGATTCCATGTTCTTATTTTTATCAAGTAATTTATTTATTTTTGGTTGGTTTGCCTAGTGTAGTATGGTTGTTATCTTGACTAGGGTGATCAAGATTGAATTCTTGACTAATATTCTAAGATGTGTCCTGTCATAAAGTTTCACTTAAGGTTTGTATAATCTTGCAGGTCCAAGATTAGAGTTTTTGGTTTCTTTCATGTGTTTCTTTAGTGTGTTTGTATGAACCAAGAAAATATTAGTTTAATAATGTGCTAGAAAATTAAATATAGCTCTCTTGGTAAAGTGAATTGGTACAATTATTAATTGTAATATTATTATTCTCTTTTACTCTATCTTAATTAGTTTTGTGTTTCTATTTCTAAAAAATATTTGTATTTAGTAATCCAAAGGTTGTACAATTTTGAATTGTTAAGAATCTTGAAAAGTAAAATTCACTTCCCTCTTAAACTCATCCTTAAATTCTAATAATTAATATTAGAATTAAATTTTTTGTAAGATATTCAAGATTCTATTTAAGTATGTAGACAATGATAAGGAACAAGTTCCCTCTGCTAATAGACCTCTTATATTTAACGGAGTCAACTTTCTGTAATTGATAGAAAGTTATAACGAAGATATTGGATGAATCAATTGATACACACATTTGGAATGTAATACAAAATGGTTTTTTCGTTGTAATGATCAATATTAAAGACATTGTATAAGAGAAGCTATGGAATGAAGGAAGTAGTGTAGAAATTGTTTATTAGAGATTGTCCCTCGCCTCTAGGTCTTGACGTAAGGTTAGAGTTTTTGTTCTTCCATAATGGTATCTCGGTAATGACTTTAGTCTCCTAGAAGAAAAAATCTTCTTTTTTTCTCCACCTAATTATAAAGGAAATATGACATCTTTTTCTCAAGTTATTAATTTAATTATATTTTAAAAGGTGATTATTTTCTATAAAATTTAAAAATAAGTAAGATATGAATAAATTTTTATACATTTATATGTATAAATATATGAAATTTACAAGTTTACATTACTATTAAAGTTGACAAACATTTTTCCTTTAAAAATAGTTGATTTATCAATGATATTATGTCTCCATAGTTAATATTTTTAGTTATATCATGCACAAAAAATAAAATAGGAAACTAAAAACAAATATCATATAAAATAATATTATCTTAAAATAATATAAAAAACAACTTTCTAATTTCATTAACATATTCCATTTATTTTATACTATGAAGATTTAAATTGATTTTTGTTGTGACTAGTCAAGATAAATGAACCAAATTAATGACTCTTTTTATTATATTTACTCATTTTAATCCTCAAGGTCTGACATGAAACTACAATATCATCAAATTTTCATGAATAAAATATTATTCATTAAGAAATTTTTTAAAATAATTAAATAATATAAATATAAATTAATAAAAAAGACTAATATATAATTGAAGATAAAATAAATAATATAAATAAACAACAAAAATAAAGAGAATCACTATATAACTAAAGATAAATAAATAAATATAAAAAGAACTTCTATATAACAGAAGATAAATTAAATTAAATAAATAAATATAAAAGAAGATGAATACATAATTAGAGATAAAATAAATATAAAAGAATAAATAAAATTATGTTAGAGATACCTTACTCAATAACAATAGTTGATAAATATATTATTTCCCTACCTTAATAATTGTAGATGATATACACTAGAATTTATCTATTTATATATTTTCTTCCTCTTCTTTTCCTTTTTTTTTTCTTCACCCCATTTTATACTCGTATTTTCAATGTTTTAATTTATTTTAATTCTACATTTAATGCATGTAATCATGACTTAATATATTTTTTTTAAAAAAGGAGTTTTATCTCTTTATGTACAAAGAGAGATAAACCATTATTATCTTCTTTTTATTATTTTAATAATTAATTACTTTTAATTTTTTTAATAATATTTTTTATAATAATTATTATTTTTGCTTAATTTTTTCATAGTTTTTCTTTTAATAATAACAATAATAATAATATTTTTTCTTTTTTAATAAAT